CCCCCACATAGAGCGCCAAACTTCTTCCAATTATCCAACAGGTGCTGATTCATGAGATATATTAAAGATCAAACTGCCCCCCATAAGTACTGATTAAGGGCGATAATTCGAGACTTACAGGCAAACGGGAACGTGGAATTTGATTTAAGATATTGGCCACCACAAGTTAAGAGCAAGTGTTATTCTTCTACACTCTCTATAAGATACACTTATCCATTAACAATTCGAACACTGCGTCATCTTTGAGGATGGAGTTTCAATATATTCCATTTGAATCACATTTAAAGCATATAGCAAATAAAATCGCTTTTAGTCGTTATGTTCCAGTAAAGCGATGCTTCTTTTCGGGACGCACTAACGAACAAATGCATACTTTAGCCCAACCGAAGGCGTTTTTTGACTTTTGATTAGTAAGAACTACAACAGTTTGTGGTAATTAGTTTCAAGGGCGTTCAAGCAAGGCAGGGGAAGAAATAAACAAGATTTCGTTTTTCCGCTGCTAAAAATTGACCAAATTGTTTTTTTTGCCCTATCATGGGCAATAATAATAATAATAGTAATAATAGAATAATGCGCAAAGAGAATTTTCATCGGCTCGCCAGCGACTGCACTCACACACACACACACACAATTACTTTCCCTTGATAGGAAAAGAGGATAAGGCTTATTAAAAATATCTCGAGAAATAGAAGAGAGCAGACCGTGGTAATGATTAATTTAAAGCGCATGATTTTTACTCCTAGCCAATATAATAATTGCAAATAATGGTTACGCGCACAGTTGGAACTACCTGCCAATGTTGAAACTTAGAAATGTCGAAATCCCTCTACCCCTACAGGCTATGCAATAATGCATCCCAAAAAAAACGTGGTCGTGAATGAGGTGAATTTGAAACTTGAAGGAGGAAATAAAGAAAGTAATAAGAAAAAGGAGGAGCCTGATAACTGGGGTAGGGAAAGCCAATTCGATTGGCAATTTTCTACAAATAATAATCCACGGATAAAAGAAGAAATAACAGCGGAAGGGGGAAACAAATTACAAGCCACGCTTCATGAAGGTATCATTTCATCGGGTTTTATCTACCCCTTTTGGAATTTTGGTAGTCCAAAGAGCGTACTCAGAACCGGAAATATAAATATGAAGGGAATAAGACACCTTTCAGTTTAAGATAATCTTCAATTTGGCTTAAAGAGAAGTAATTGGCATACTTACAAAAGAAAATTAAAAACAAAGATCTTCTTTAAATAAATAAATAAAAGAACAGACTACAAGAAGTAGGCGATGCTTGCAAAATGAGCATCGAAGAGGGCAATTTGATTCAATAAAGGAGCAATCTTACTGCCATTCTCAATTAAACCATGACCAAAAGCCATAAAATCCCTAATTGTTCGATAAAACAACAAAAAACATTAAAGCAAACGAAACAACTACGCATAAAACATCAAAGACGGGGAAAAATGGATCTTCTTTTACGAAGATACGAGGTCTTTCATTACTTCTCCAAAAAACGGACATAACCGATCATTCAAAGCAAGTGGGAGATATAAACGGTCTCTAATAAGCAAATAGAGTTATTGGTCACAATATTAAAGCCCAGTTGATGATTCAGAGGTGGGAAAAACAATTCGAGAATGCAGTACAAGATGAGCAACAGGACTGATGAGTGCAATGAAATTTCTCAAACATAGAGGGTACAACTACGAAGCAAATCGAGCATTTTAAGCTCCCACACTCCTATTCTTATTATAAAGAAAGTACTTACATCTTCCCACAAGAGTGAATGAGGAAAGAACAGCTCACGAGAAGAAGTGCAAAAAGCGAATTTCCACTAGTCGACTGATTCTAAAAGAATATCTTTTCAATTCCATGATGAAGTACATATACACATGGAATTTGACGTCTGATATAGAATTACCACAAAAAAAAGAAATTATATCACGAAGAAAAGCAAATGGGGTAAAATTAATATTGTTAAACAACTTCTACCATTTAACAGAGATGGCGATTCAAGATAAACTGCAGTAAATTCAAAATATATAAATGACATCAATATTAAGGAAAGATGAGGGCAAACATACTGTTAAGAATATCAGAGAAGTCAATAGTATCCAGAGCACCCGATAGCTGAGCAGCAAGAGGGTGACGGGCGTAGAGACCAGGCAGTCGAGGGGACATTTTCTCCATCACCCTCTTCTCCATAGCCAAACGCAATGGAGCATGCAGACCCTGAGTGGCACGAAGAACTTTCATCGACTGAGTATGCCGTGCTTCCTCACCACGTTCGGCTTCTGCAGCTGCGGCTGGATGTGGGGGAACACTTGCTGCCTCCGAGACCAAGGCCCGATTACCTGACAATCTAAAAGTATAAATTTACAGTTACTTATGTTGTTTCAGTAGCAATCTTATAAATTGGAGGCAAGGGACAGAGGGTGAAAGTGATACTGAGCACTTGTATGGAGTCACGTGATATCCTGCGTCATTTCCCATTAAATGTTTTATCATCACCTGCTAATAACAGTTGGAAATTTAGTTAGGAAAAATGCCGTATGCAATCGCATAAAGAATATTAAGCGTTGACAACCGTTTGGGATGAAATTTATGCATAAAGTTAAGTGAAGGCCCACCACAAAACATACACATGGTAAAAGCATTCTCTGGAAAATAATTCCTAAATGCAAACCAGAAGTCTCTGTGTATACACAGTCTGGTCAGAATTAAACATTAAACGAAGATAATAGCAGGACATGGTGAGGCAGTTAGGCTGATGCAAACACTGAAACCCACGGACTACATAAAGGGACAACGACGAGTCGGAAATTAGCATTCGTAGTACGATTACGAAAAACGCCCCCATATGAGATGACAAGGAGGTTCCAAAACATGTAGAGAGGTGTCAAGGTGCCTATCGAAGTTCATGGTAAACACTTTCAACACCTGCCGTGAACTAGTAAATATTCAGTATGTTGCTATTGATAACATCCTGTATTTAACTAATTTCAAATGAATAGATCATTTACTTTAACTTACTGAATTCACAACGGGCTTCTTTTATCAGTGCCAGCAATAAAAATCTTCGTATAGTCCGTAGGTCTACTAAGAACCCTCTGATAGTAACAGACTTACGACTCTCGGTAACACTGCAAGTTGACTTATCTTAGGATTATGAAGAGCCAACTTCGTGGATAATAGAGAATCGCGAGTACAAACTTGCGTACTGGCATGAATAGGCCTTCCCAGTTCTCTTAGCAGAGGCATTCTTTGGAATAATCTGATTCAACCGAAAAGCTAGTAAAACCTAGTATAAAGTCTCATGCCCAGGGAAAAAGAAGTGTTCATAATGTCAAGAAAGCCATTGTTGAGAGAGCGGGTTGTCACTTCTCGTCTCCAGAAGCATAAACTAACCGCACTAAGAGAATTCGGGTGAAAGCCATGCTACCATCAAATTCATGGTAACAAAAACATAATATGGCTAAAATAATTCGAATATCAGAAACCACATCCACCCACCACCACCTTACGATACATTGAACTTAAAAGGCATACATCTGATTGGCCGAGAAGTGTAACGCATACCAACCTTATTAATTATAATCCAAAACGAATGCCCACTTGCGGGTATTTATATGCAAATGTTAGATAGCACCGAGAGGAAAGTAAAAGCAAATGTGAGAGATAACTTACCCAGCATACATAGGCGGCACAAGACCGAATTCGTTGCGAACAAGAGTTGATTGCTTAACAGGCTCCTGCACAAAAAAGGCGTTTGGAGTGAAAGCAGAGAAAGAGGTGATAATCGAGAAACGAGACCACAGAACAATCCGCATAGGCTTTATTTAAGTATTACAGAAATAAACGAACAGTTGCATTTGTACAGTAGCACACACAAAAGAGGTAAAAGGAAATATGTGACAAATGATGATGGTAGAATTGGTACGAGGACAGACCACAGTACTGAATAAGGGAAAGAGGACGTCTTTGAGTTAAGCTGAATCCGTCGTTGGGGCCGGAGGTTGAGGGTAAACTGCATCTGGCTGGACGACTTTGAGAATGATGGGATGACCGAGGGCTCCTGCCACCGGCAAAACCTGTGAAATGTGAGCCAAAACACCTCAAATGAGAGCTTGATCGAGATGCCTATATGCAAACTAAAATACTAAGTGTAGTAAAAATGGAATAAGCCCATACAAGAATGTATAAAAATAGAAAAAAGGTAACAGATTACACCCAAGAAAGCATGGGGAGCAAAATGTAGGAGAGCGATGAAAATCGTCTTAAAATCATTATTTAGACATTTTCGACAAGACATAATAAAGCGAGAGGAAGAAAAGAGAATATTCTTGAAGTCCAGAGTAGAAGTTCTAAAGATTTTGGGAACGCAAGTAATTCCCTGAATATTACCTACCTCCCGGAATAATTTGGGACATTCTTAAACAAACTTAGCTTGAATGGAGGAATGGTATCCAGAAGACGCATTCAAACACCCTCTTCCCGATTAGCCGGGGTGGTTGATCATCCATACCATTGGAAGAGGCCGATGGGTATTGGCCACGTGACCCATGACTTGGCAGATGTGTCCCCACCCCCTGCACCACTGGCAGTAAAGTTTTTTAATGCTGTTGCTACATTTTTATATGACTTGTCATCTGAGTAAGTAATCAATGTGGAATATCTTTCTTGGTTTAACTATAGTCACAGTTTATCCCGCTGGACAACCCAGATTGCATCAATGGATTTACTTAAATTTGTTAGGGAACCTGTGAGTGAACAACAGATAAAAAAGGAAACAATAGGTACACAAAAAACACCAGATCGAGCAAAACCCATAATCCTGAAATAAGGCCACAAGTTGCAGTATCAAATACAAAATCTTTGATGAGGAAACATGCCTACTTCTAACAAAAATATAATGCCAAATGAATGTGATTAGCTTTTATGGCAACGGTAATGGAAATCCAGCACGCATTCCATGAAGATTTAAGGGAAAAAGAAGACAAAGAGACAGTATGATTGTGCTGACGCGTAAATGACATATGAGACAGACAATAGTAATGACAACAAATCTTACCGGTCAAATGTGCTGCAAGCCACAAAGTTGAAAGTGGGTCAAGCTTAATTATACGCGTCCGAAGGCGGTCCAACATTAGCGCAAAACGTGAACCATTAAGTTGATCAGGAGTTATACACATTTCCAGACCACTTACTGAGTCAATAGGTTGTAGCCATCTTAGAAATGTCACGTCATCTAACTCTATTATCTCGATACTTCGATTTCCAAGCTATTTCTTATTAATCTCCTTTATTCATAAGACGTTCCTTGATAAAGACTTCTTCAATACTGCAAATCTATCGCAAAGGCAAATTAAGCTTAACAATAAAGTAAACTAGCGCAAAGGTTAGGATTTTTACAACTTCTAGAGGAATACAATGGGAATGTAGAATATTTTAGAACGGAGGTGTAAAGGCGGCTCTTTCGATAATCGGTAGTGATTGAATTCTTCCAAACTTAACACAAAAGGTCAATCAAAATTTCAATTATTACTTGAACTCCAGAGGTTCCTTCAAGCATGACAGAAATGGGAGGAGCAGTGGTAGAGGAAGAAATAGACCCATTGGATTCAATAAGAACCGGTGGAGCAGGAGCAATTTGTTTGACCGTTGAGGATGGTTGATTACTGGACGGTTTAGCAATCAGAGATTTGCCACCACTTTCCGGTTTGGGGGAAGAGAGATTCACACCGAAATGTTGAAAGATGAACCTTCGAAGATCAGCGTTTTCCTGCTGCATAGAAGCGTACTTCTCCTAAAAAGGAAAGTGGCAAAGAACTCAAACAATACCAAAGATATATTAGGACTTATACGGCAGCAATCGTATCCTTCAAGCCAATTAGTAAAGGGGAAAGTAGCGACGAAAAGTGGATTAAATAATCATTCTGAAGTTGCGCTGGGATAATCAACATCGCCACCCCAGTACTTAAGTAGAAAAAATTAACCCAATAGCCAACTTTGCTGGATTTTCGCAGCAGATGGACATCGATCCCTTGAACTCCAACCTGGCAGTACGTTAATAACAGATTTAGAAATCCCGACTGACAAAAATGTGTAATAAAATTCAATCGGTGTGAATAACCACTACAATCACGACTAAACTGGCATAGGCTTATCAAATCAAGTAATGAAAGCGAAGTCCCTCTGATTTATTATTGTTTGATTCCATATAAAGTAGAAAACTTGAGAGTACCTTAAGTTCTTTAAAGTCGTGCTCCAATTGCTGGATATAGTTCTTCTTCTTTGCACGACTTTTGCGGGCAGCCTCACGATTCTTGCATCGCAATTCGGAAATAGGAATCGATCTTGGTTGTTTGAATTGACCATCAGAACTCGAGCCTTCAGAAAGCGGTGCAATTTGTGGCAAACTTGAATTAATAGGAATCACAATTGGGTCTAAAACCGGCGACAGGATATGATTCGGGAGAGCCTCAGAATCGACATTTGGCGAATGGGTAGTTGAATCAGGGGAACTATGTTCTACCAATCGCTTATGCTGAGAATCCATATCCATTTTAATCCGACATTCTTTGAACGAAAAACTTCCGGGTGGTAGTGAAGATTCGGTAAAATTTACATGATTCTTGAGAATCGACAATCCTGTCGGCAGATCTGATAACCTAGGCTTCGAAACGCATTTCGATAGGAGTAAATCACCACTCGCATCCCGGTCGTCTTCTACGGACATGAAGCGTAAAAACGAAATACCTTTATTACAACGGTCAAAGCCCAGGTCATCGCCTAAAACAACTGTTTCTGCCGAATCACTGTCACAAGAACTATCATCCTCATTCGCACGAAGGTGGGAGGATTCCGTCATATTAAAGAGTCGCTAGATGATAAAACCAAGATCATCAGCCAAGCACTTATTTGTGAAATGGAAGCAGATAGACATACTAAGTTAAAATGCTGATACGCTATTACTAAACAGATATTCACAGAACCACTGCAAGTTAAAAGGAACAATAACTAAGCAAAGACCTTACATGATAGACCGGGTTAAGTGGAAATTTGTTGGCGATTAATGATGATACTGTTAACTTAATAAAATAAAAAGCCGATCAGAACCAGAAATACTCAAAATAATTAAGATAAAATGTTATATTTGCACACAGTTTCTCCGTTTACTCCTTATATTTATTTGATTTAAGAATATTTAATTTGTAATATACCTTGATCGTATGGTGAAAGAAATTGTATGTACATATCTCATCAAAAGTTATTCATGGAAAAGCTATTAAAGAAAATAAATATTTCTGAATTAAGTGCATGTGAACAAATGCCTATGAATTCTTTTTGTAGCATTATGGTTAATAGCTAATTTAAGGCAATATTGAAACATAGTTTAAATTAATTAAGTTATAAATGCATAACTAATGCCAAAATTTTAAAGTATTTAATCAATAACAATGAATATGTGAAATAATAATAGTCATTTACGGGAAGATATAAAACAGGACCTAATTCAATTACCAATTTTGAGAAGTAAGCTAGAAATCTCAAAGCCATACATCATAGGTGAATTATTTTTTGGAACAAAACCATGTATTAAACTCGAGTGTGAGCTAATAATGCAAGAGGGAGGGCTTATTTATCGCTTCATTTAAAACACATAATTAAACAAATTGCTTATTAATTTTTAGATATTTTTGTCAATTATATAAACATTATTTCTGGAACATTGTATCAATTGCTATGTTTTAATTAGGCCTTAAGCAAAACAATAATAAGAATGCAATTGCTTGTTTGTTATGACCTTTAAACGCGGCGCATAATATAATCTAGTGGTTTTTACGTAGGGTCATAGTCGTCATGGCCCAAGGATATTCACGCGAACGTCTTCTCGATATCTTCCACAAGTATGCAATGTTTATATGAATGTGTTAATTGTTTGTAGAATCGATGTAGATAGGAGTGGAAGCATTTCCGCTTCTGAACTTCAAAGAGCTCTTTCCAACGGTACATGGGAACCTTTCAATATTATGACCGTACAGGCTATGATCGGTATGTATTCGAAGTAAGCTCCACATGGTGTTTTATAGACCTTTTTAGTCCTAGTTACGCGTCGGAAATCAATTTTGATGGATTTGTTAGGCTTTGGAAATTCGTTGAAAATTGGCAGAACTATTTCCACGCTGTAGACACAGATAAGTCGGGGTGTATCGACCAGGTGGAACTTCAAACGGCTATCGGCAATGCGGGTAAATTTAATTTGTTTGCTTGCTTCTATAATAATTTGTGCACTTTTATCTTTTTTTAATATTCAGGCTATCGTCTCAGTCCCGCAATGTACTGTTTAATGATGAACCGATTTGATCGCAAGAAGAAAGGTGTCATCTATTTTGATGATTTTATTCACATGTGCATAGTACTTCAGGTAATTTTTGTACTGAATTTCGCTACCATATGTCGATATTTACACGTAATTGGTTATTTTTTTGCGTTTCTCTCTCCGCAGAAATTGACAGATCAATTCCGTGACGCAGACCAAGATCGTGATGGGTATATTCGGATCGGTTTTGAAGAATTTTTGGTCCGCGTTTTCACAGCTTTCACTTAAATTTTCCAACTAGAATTTGTTTTCTTGTCTTCCTACTATGATGTGGCATTCCCTCTCTACTCCATTTATTATTCCTATTGTATTTAATTGTCCTGGCTCTTTCTATCGGGTTTTTGCCAATAGTCGAATTAGCCTTTTGGCAAGAGAATATTACATTTTTTCATTATTCTTGATTTTGGAGACTTTTTTTCTTCATATTCTCGCCTAATCTCTAATGCCATTTTTCTAACAAAATATGTGATTGAGACCTGGTAAAATTCTGAGGTGGCGTTTTTTGGTCAACTTATTATTTTGCTTTTTCTTGGGCAAATAGTCATTCCGTTTTAGTTTAAGTACTGATTCGTTTTCATATGCTTTTTCTCAACTTGTTTCTATGGAATTTAGTTACTTACTATTATGCTTCTAGAGACAATTGGTTGGCAATTTGCCTTTTAGTCAAAGCTTAAAATCGTAATTTGCTTTGGACGACCCAATTTTTCGATAAAATTTTTTAGCAAAAAAAAATGTACGCCTCATAAAGTTGTTAAAGTACTTTGTTTTTTTCTCGTGTGTGCTTTTCAAGAACAGGCGTACAACTAAAACTGTTTCACAATTTAAATTTATTCTTTTATCTAGTTGGTTGGCCTTTTGGCCACTCGAGGATGCAATCTAACATATCGATCGGCTGTGTTAGTCACGTGCGCACTACCGACGCGACACGACCCTCTTTCAGGTTGAAATTTGGGCTCACGTGGAATCGATGCTAAATAGGACAATATTTGATTGTTTTTTTTGGTTAAAACAATGTATGCAAATTGAGTATTACCTATTCTATAAATGCATGTCAAAAATAGTTATTAGTGGCCTGGTAACATGCATTTATTGTTGGGAATTTAAAGTGATTTCTTTTGTGAAAGTGTGCATAGTAAAGTGCTTGGTCTGTCGCTTTTCTTCTCATGGTCATATTTTCATTATTTGGCTTGTGCTTAGGCTACTTAGCACACGCTCTATCCATGACTACCTGGAAATGGAGCAAAATTGCTGTCACCAAGCTAATCTCAAGGGTTATAATACTTTTTACGTGAAGTGCTGCCTGCTAGAGTATATATTAACGCGCAGGGTGGAACCTCAGCTATCCAACTTATTTAAACATTATTCTGCTATTTCGTTCGCAATTGGATAGTTCATTTAGAAATATTTTAAAATTGATAACCCAATTTAAAGAAATAGCAGATAAAATGTGTGGCTTTCCAAAGGCGATCTTGATTGAAGTGTGAACGCACCCGATTTCATAGGGCTTGTCCGCAAACAGGTTAAGATAAGCTCAATTATAACCGCAACTGGACAATAATCGATATTCACATTTAAAAGGCTGTAATTAAAACCCACCAGATATGTCAACTGGATATTTTAATCGTGCGCTTCCCTCAATGAGAGGTGGGTTATTCCCATTTTTAAAATTTGTGCAATTAATTTATTTTAAGGGATTTGAAATCATTTATTAATATCGATCGAATGGAAAAAATAACGTATTGTCCAGACGTTCCTTTAATGTATTTGGCTTAGCAATGTACAGGGATTTCTCCGTTAAAAGTACAACAATCTGAATGGGTGAACTTTTATTTGTCAACTGCATACGAAGCTCCAAACTTAATTTAATTGAAAGAATCGAAATTTTACAAATGCGCTGTTTTTGAGTGCGCATTTTGTTTGCGAATACGGTGAATCGCTTTGTTTAATTGTAATTAGTTAAATTGTAGGTTTATAAAGTGGAATCATGAGAGTTTCTGTTAACCCAGAGTTAGGATTTTAAAATGATACCAACAAGGCATATAGCTATTTTTTGTTGGTAATTGTTTCGTCACTTTTGTTGGAAGTAATATTTGCAATTTTCTCGAAATTTGGACGCTATTCGATTAATTGAGACATTTCACTCCCTGTCACTTCTTTATTAGCTTAATCAATTATTATTAATCAATAAAAGCTATTTCTATCGACCACGCTGTACTTTTCCCTTAGTTACCTCAATTAGGGTAGATATTGACAAGCCTTGTCCCACTGTGAGACAGCATTTTCTAGAGCAATTTTAGTAACCAATGGAGACAGGTATTTGATGACATTTCAAATTTAGATAGGAAATGAGCTCATCGAAAATGTATAAATATGGTCAAATAGTTTGTTTGAAACTGTATATGTGCGGTATACAGTTTTGTTCCTTACCATTTTCTGAAATGTTTCTGTAACGCCTACAACGCACCACTACTTCAATCAACTAAATCTCTTTAATGGTCCTGGAAATATCCCCTTCAACCCCCCCCCCCCCCAAATGATCTGCAAAGTAGGCTTACAGAATACACTAGCCGTTTCCGAATTCGATGATCTAAAGTTGATTCCCACTAGGTGATCATTAGCCAACCGGGATGGAATGAAAAATAGAAAGAGGAGGAATTGATGGAGGAGAGAACAAGCGTCTGTGTCGATCTAGTGAAACTCGAGCTGTGTTCAACAGAGCGAAGTAAGAAATTAAGTGATTTTACATTCTTTGTTCGTCAGAAAAGCAACAAATCAAAACAATTCTGAGATATGAGTCAACATCACTCTCAGCATCAAATGATTACACACTCCACCTTACCCGTTTTCATAATCTGTATTAATAAATACTTTAAATTCAAGGAATCCGATCAATTGACCTCAAATTAACTGGATAATTTTGGGGGTGATATTGCCTTAAAATACAAATAGGTTAACCGCCAAATATATCAACAGAATTTGAGATTGTCATGCTCAAATTAGCTATTTCGGATTGACAATGGTGACCAAGAAGAATTCTTGCATTATTTGATTTCTAGTGCATTAAAGCACGTGATTTCAACATGTGTTAAATTTACAAAAAGTTGTATTAAGCGGCATCACCTCAAGAGATGGTAGGCATAGCTCCTAGAAACGCCCCCACCCCATGACTATTGCAGTGATAAATTCTGCAATAGATTTCTTTCACAAATCATGCAAAAACAACGAGTGGGGCAGAGAGAGAATACAACCACCCCATATTGGAGGTTTTCCGAGTGATTTGTCTTCCAATAAAGCAATTCAAAGTGGATCGATATTATCGTTGCGGTAGGGCGCAAGCCATTGGTATTAATTAATCGCGCAAATCTAACAGAAACTTATAAACTGAAGCTAATCTGCTTTTAATCAGGTGATATCTTTAATAAATAGTAGAAATAGTTTAATGACTTAATCGATGCCAAGTGAATTAGACCCTTGAGTTAGTGGAAAACATTAAATAAATACCATGCATATTACTGGCTAACTCGAAGCTTAAAAAAAAACATATTTTGAGATAATGAATGCTATGGATTTTATAAAAATGCTTGAAATCATGTATTTGTGTGCATTCGAATAAAATGGTGTTGCAATCACTAAGCCAACCTCAAGGAAAGTAGACTAAATGCCAATTTCACTTCAATTCCATATTCCCACAAGGAAGTGATTGAGATCTTAATACTAATCGTCGTGGCTGTACTAGAAAAGCCAGCCACTTAATTGACTGAATTAAAGCAGCTTATTGGAGACCCCATTGGGAGAAATCGTGCGATTGGCTTTCACCAGGTTCCGTTATGGGGACGAAGTAACGTGGTAATAGACCCAAATTGGGATTATTTTGGGTAAAATTACCTGAACATTGAGCAATTTTCCAATCCATTGAATTTTTTAAAATGCTTTGTATTTGGTGTTACCAAACCACACTCTCCTTTTTCTCACTCAAATCGTCAAATCTGTCGTCACAACAGAACACCATCTGATGTGTGATTTCTTATAACCATTTAGATTTTGACGCTGTGTGCAGTGATATAAGTGCTGACCGAATAGATCCGGCGTGTGGTAGAACCCTCGGGACAATGCACATGTACTACCGATCACATATCGAGTGGGAGTGGTAGTGCGTGATTGTAGTGTAGTACTGTACCTGTACTCTCAATTACCAAGCCTCCTCACTTCAACTCTCTCCCTCCCTCTCCCTCTCCCTCTCCAAACCACGCCTCATGTGTTCTCACTCTTTTGAACATAGTCTAGCTAAGCTTGAGGCCAATTTATGCAAGATGGCTCCACTGGAGGACAATTGTACCTCTCTTCAACCAATTTACCCTCTAAGAGAATTGTTAACGTTTAGTTTATAATCATGCTCGTGCTTTTTCAAGATATTTCTGAACGCTCCGATTCGTGATGAGTAGTCATTTGATAAAACCTTGTTAATACAGCTCCTATTTTCAAGTTATTTTACTTCTAATTCATTGAATATGTGGTTCTATGTGGGCGAATTTATTAATACACATTATTAAATGCCTACCAGTAGCACGTGATTCACCATTGACCCCAAAACTCCACATTCCCTTTCACTGCTCTGCTTGAACTACTGTTACACTCTAAGAAGCATTAAAGGCAATTTTGCAAGGAGAAATGCAGTTTCTTTGCTTAATCACACTCTATTCTTACAAATGCAAATTTTAGGATTTGCACATTTAAGTTCTTGAGTACTGGCACAAAGGTGAAAAACAGTCAGAAAAACGGAGAAAATTTTAAGTCATATTGAATATTACACTGACCTGCTTATTTACCGACAAAACATCAGATAATTTTTGTTGGAGAGGGGACAAAAATTGTCCTTATTAAGTCCATTAAATAAATAAATAGATAACTAAATAAATAAGGATAAATAGGATGCATGAAGGGGTGTGCGATAGACTTACCTCCACGTGGTGCACACTGGGCAACGTATACTCATACGGCAAAAAAGCCTATTACATCTGTGAATCACTCTTCTGTTCCCCCCTCTCGAATTTTTCTCATTTTGATGTTCCTCCTCCCCTCTATGAAGTCCGAAATCACCTAAAGGACTAATGATAACTATCACAACGCCTGCTATTTGAAATTAATAAATAAATAGGATGTATGAAAGATTGAAAATAAGAATAAGAAATGGATTCCACGTAGTCCAGATCCATATATCACTGATTTAT